CTCTTGTTGGTGGTGCTATGTTCTTCTGTACCTGTGCTAATACTTTTCACTTTCGGTTCTACACTTTTTCTTCGGTGTTGGTGTGTACTTCTGCGTGGACATTTTCTTTCTGTAATATTTCCTCAATGGTTCTACATTATTTTCATCGTTGGTGGGCTTCATACCTGCGCAGAGAGTTTTTTTTTTATCTGTAGGGTGCGTACTTCTGTGCTTGCAGAGCATCTTTTCTGTATAAGTTAATACTTTTCGTCCCTGGTTATATATTTTTTATCGGTGTTGGTATGTACTTCTGTTTATTATTTTCGTCATTGTTTATACATTTTTCGTCACTGGTTCTGACATTTTTTCATTTTTGGTGAGCTTCATACTGCTGTATTTATTCATAATGTTCTAAGTTGATGCTACAATTTTTCGTTGAAGATGTGTATAATTCTGCATCTTCTTTCATCGGTCCCTATATAGTTCTGTATGGGCATTTTTTCTGTATTTATTCGTCATTGGAACTGTAACTTGTTCATCGTTGGTGGGGCGTATACTTCTGCTTCTAATGACATTTTTACATCAGTACCTGCATAGTTATGTGTCTGTGTGTGCAATTTTTCTGTATATTTTCGTCAATGGTTCTACATTATTTTTGCCGTTGGTCCTGCAACTTGTTCATCGTTGGTGGGCTATGTTCTTCTGTACTTGTGCAGAGAGACTTTTGTGTGCGTTCTTCTGTACCTGTGTAGAGGGTATTTCTGTATGTGCTAATATTTTTCCTCGCTGGTTCTACACTTTTTCGTCAGTGGGGTGCTTACTTCTGTATTTTCTGTCATTTTGTTTCATCGGTCCCTGTATGGTTGTGTGTTGGAATTATTTATTTATTTTTTGTATTTCTTCGTCGTTGGTACTGCAACTTGTTCATCGTTGGTGGGACGTATTCTTCTGATTTTTCTGAATTTTTTTTATCAGTGCCTATATACTCCTATATGGGAATTTTTTCTGTATTTTTTCATAGCTAACTTTTTCGTTATTGGTCTTTACGATTTCTCATTGTTGGTTTTGGTGTGTTCTTCTGTGTGGACATTTTGTTTTGTATTTTTTCGTTGTTCGCCCAGACATTTTCTCATAGTTGGTTTGCTATGTTCTTCTGTACCTGTGCAGAGAGACTTTTGTGTGTGTTTTTCTATACCTGTGCAGAGAGTATTTTCTGTATGTGGTAATATATTTCATCGCTAGTTCTACACTTTTTCGTCAGTGTTGTGTGTGTACTACTATACTTATTCATTTTGTTAGTCGTTGGTGCTACAATTTTGCATAATGGGGTGCATACTTCTGTATATTCTGGCAACTTTTTTTTATCGGTCCCTGTATGGTTCTGCGTGAACATTTTTTTTCTGTATTCTGTATTTTTTTCACATTTTTTCGTTGTTGGTTCTACAATTTTAAGTTTATTTTGGTCTGTAATTCTGTATTTATTCACATTGTTCATGGTTTTTTCTACAATTTTTTACCAAAGTTTCTAAGATTTTTCATCGTTGGTGGGGTGGCTATTTCTGCGAATGTTGGAATTATTCGTCTCATTGAAATTGGGATGTGACGAGGCTTTGCCACTTTTTTATCGTTTAGCATGCCTGGAATTTTTTTTTGTGTTCGTCACTGGAGATTCTACCGGGTTTTAATTGGTGGTGTCAATGTCTTGATGGTTTTGGGATTATTTGTCACACTGTGATTTTCAACGTTGGAAATTTACCATCCTCTGAAGCAGCAGTCGTTTACAAACGTTGTCTGCACAAAACAATCATATTGTTAGGGCATGAATCGTCGGAACCCAACTACATCTTACGGAGATAATCGTTATGTTACAAAATACATTTTAAAGCATTTTTTAATCAAAAAAAACACTACTCCATAGTATGCACTGATTACAGCCATATGGGTGGTAAGCGGGAGGGATATGACGCATGCACACGAGCTATGTAAGTATAAAGGGTACATGTGGGTAGGTGATTTTATGTAGTTAAATTTATTCCCATTTTGTCGTAAAATGTACATTTACGAATAAAATTATAAAGCACCGCGATCTGAAAAAAAAACCATTTCACTTTCGTAAGTAATGCACGTAGGTAAATTGTTAATTGGGTTCAAAATCAATTATTTTTAATAAATAGGAATAACCCAATAGTATACAAAGTTTTTTATATCTATAAATATGTGTGTCGCCCTGCCAACAATCGAGCTAACGTGGTGGTGGATTGCCGACTAATTAGTATACAGCCAATGAGAATCATTGTATCGAACGAAAAGTGAGTAATTAGTCAATAGAAGCATGGGCGGGGAAGGAGCACGCAACTTATTGGTGGAACGGAGATGACTAATGGGTGGAGGATTGCCGGCTGAACACTAATTGTTTGTGACGAAAAGTTGTTTAAAAATTTTTTAAAAATATTAAATTAATCTTTTTTAAAATACATTTTTTAATAAGGTGAGAGCATACTAAAATGGCGCGGCCAAACGCTACTACTTTGCCTAGTCTATTATCAATTTGGCGATACCTAATACACTAGTGCTACCTAGGTGATGTAAACACATGACACTTACTAATATGTGATGGAACGTAGTGAGTAATCGCTGAAACGACAGTGATTAATTAGCCATGACGCTTACCCATACGGCGGGCGAACTAGGTAAGAGACAATAAGTTAAAACAAATGACGAACGAAAAAAAAACCAAAATGGCAGTCGAAAGACGTCGATAGAGATAGTAATGTGTAAAAAAATCACGAACGAAAAAACAAGATAGTGGAATGTGTATAGGTGAAGAGGGTAGAACGGATTTGACTAATTGGTGTGGGTGAGGAATGTGAGCGGATCCGACTAGTTACCTCCGGAAATGAAAATTTTTTAAACAAATATTTTTATAAGATTTTAAACGATTTTTAATAAAATGTTATGGGAAAAGGGAAATTTTAAGGTAAAAAGTGTATTGTAATAGAAAAGGGTAAATTGTTAGGGAAAATGACCGCCGGGAGAAAATACTTTTTAATAAAAAATTTAAAGGATATTTTAAAATAAAATTTTTAATAACAAATTTTTGAAACCTATTTAAAAAATGCTTGGAATTATTAATAATTTTACAATTTTTTATCATGTTTTAACCTTCAAACGATGATGTAGTAAATTTTTCGTAATAAATTTTTTATCTTTTTTTTTAATTTCGGAATGTTTTGATTTTTGAGGTGATTCCCAGCAAATTTAACAAGCAAGAAGTGCTACACTAGGGTATGTAAACTAACATATTTTGGTGCTGGATGCCTTTTTCCTAACGGCGTAGATATAAATGTTAGTACGTTATATATGTATATATATAAATAATTATATATATATATATATAATTCAATAACTATTACCCAAACCTTCTACACTAACAGTATTCATTAGAAACATCATTTAGGCATACAGAAATCCTAATTTGCCTAACTGTTTGCAAAATAGTGCCAGGTGAGTAAATTGAACATTGCAATAATTCTGGAACAATTAAACTAATTTTTAACAATTTTTGTGACCCCATTAGTGCTACAGGAGGCCACGAAAACTTCCGGATATAAGTGGGATCAGATATTTATTATTAGAATTGTGGCCATATATATATATATATTTTTAAATTTTGTGATATATATTTAAAACATTTATCAAATTTAACCCAACTGTTTTGCTCACAGTATCTATTATAGGCATAGTATACCCGATATTGTTCAACCAAATGATTAAGACAGCACCAAACTAATCAGAAAATACATTTTTTATGCAAATTTTTATGGACCAATCAAATGATTTCCACCAAATTCTGCACACGGATAGCGCTACGTTAGGCTATGTAAACTTACGTTTATTAAGTGACTCCGATATGTATTATGAAAATAATAGCCCTGTAAATATTTTAAGATTCGAACCCTATAATTCAAAACATTATACTGATTACATACTAAGTTGATGCACCAAATACGACCTCCATAATGCAGTGTATGTCACGATAGCATACGGTACGAAATTTTTTGGGTTCGGGGATTTGGTAAGGCCCGTGCGTATTTGTACTTTTCTCACTACTTTTGCGTATGATTCTAATTTCATCTCTGATGTTATTGCTGCCAGCTACACGTCCAAGTTTTTAAGAACTTTATTAAAAACGATTTGCACCCATGTAGAGGAAAGTATGCTTACTAGTTATGTCAATAACTTGTTGTTTGTTTACCAATAACCCGCTACTTACTGTACGTGCTTCGCAAACGCATGTAAAATATATTCACGGTTAACTGAGCACTTTTGAGCTCCAAGGTAAGAAACTACACTTTCTTCTCGTTTTATATACTTCTGCTTTATGTAAAATTAACATTGTAGTAGACCATCGTACTACATTTGTGCAATATCCAAGTGAATCCATGAAATGGCTAGGAAAGTAAATATATAAATAATATGTCAAATCGTGCTTTTTTACGTGTATAAAACAAGAAGCACTCTTTCGGCAGCCATAAATTTAAATCTTTCACTTGCAATACAACATCAATTCATTGAAATTTCAAAATTTTATAATTACAAGAATACAAGAATACTACAGGAAAAATGTCCACCAAAGTAAGAGTCCCATAATAACATTACCATATGAACTACTGTAATTAATTAACGTCTATTAAAGTGCGTATTACTTACCTTGAAAAATAATAAATTTGCATAATTTTTTTAATTAAGATCTACTTATCCCAGGCAACCTAAGTGGCAGCTGGAATGTCAGTGTGTATTATACCATACATTATCCATTGGCAGTGGTATTTTCCAATAATTTATTTCAGAAGTGCTCGCATATATATATGAGAAAATACATAAGATTTTAAATATAAATGTCTGTATTAAAAATTTCGTGTTCCTAGAAGTAACTGTAAGTATTAAAGACCTCTCGTAGGTTTTAAAGTAACTTAAACATGAATTAACAAAGTTATATAAAAATCTAGCAACTCTCATAAGTCCCTTTGGTGCAGTGGAAAGCGTCTAAGCACTTCTAATCTAAATGTCTTGGGTTCTATCCTCACAAGGGATGGTACTTGCGCTGGTGTTTCGCCATAAAATTTAATACATAATGTAATTAGTATGTCGGATGTAACTGCATATCATGAGAAATGATTGAATTTAAATAGTTAACTTACGAAGAACTCATTTACTTTTGCAACAGACATCGCTTATGCTGAACTTTCTAAACCACTAGCAGAACTATCTTGTGTTGCCCAGGTATGAGAGGTCAATAGGAGATTAATCTACTATTTTATTAAAGGTTTATGTCGCACATGAAAAGAATCCCTACATGTAAGCAGTTGTTTGTTATTACTCTGCGCGGTCCAAAGCACTCATAGATAGTGTAGCTTTATAGTATGACATAGATAGCACTCTAACACAAGAAATGAATACCAACACATACCCTCAATTGAAAGTTGGGGTCTAAACTTGGAATTGCAAAATTTAAGAAAACGAGAATAGAATGACAATACAAATTCCCTTTAATACTGCTTCTTTAATCAAATTAGCACGAATGTATCCGTTTTTAGACGTCTTAAAATTTTAAAAATTTTAATCAAAGTTATTGCATTTTGATTGTCGACAAATAAACATGAGCTTGAAGTTTTGGTTCCTAAATGTGACATTACGCCACTTGTGTACATAAGTTCTTTTACTGCCAAGACTGATGTATAGTATTTAGATTATGCTGTACTCAGGGCTACCATACTTTGCTTCTTTGACATCCATGAGACCAGGTTGCCACAAAAGTAGACAGCAACTCCAGAACCACACTTTCTGTCTTTGGATTCTCTGACACAATCGGCATCTGAATAGGCATGAAGAGATCCATCTTGAGTTTTCTTGTTGACTAATTTCAGATCTTGAGTCGCCTCTAAATAGCACAACACTCGTTTTCCAGCATTCTCCATAGTTGGTTTCATGCTATGTCAAGAAACGTACTTAAGAAGGAGCCTGCAAAAGATATACCTCGTCTACTCGACAAGGGCAAGCACATCAGACTCCATACAAGTTCTCGATATGGCACTTCTAGTGTTTTTCATAATGTTATACTTGAAAACCTATTTCCATTAGGGTACTTGGGTTCCTGCAGTCTGCCATTTTAAATTTCTTGAATATATTCTGCACAAAGCCAGACTTTGAAATATAAGTAGCATCTTCTTTTCTTTCTTTTTCAGACCCAAATCACTTTTGGTTCACCCAGATCCTTGGCATTGAATTCTTCCTCCAGGACTTTCGCAATATTACATTCTTTGTCCACAATTAGACAGTCACTCACAAATATCACACCCATTCATATGTCCCATTGTACAGACAGAAGTCATTCTTAGAGCGTTCGAGTCCTAGACTTACGAGGAATTGTGTATCCTATCTTTCCAGCAACGAGGAGCCTCCCGCAAGCAATACAAAGCCTTCTTCAACTACGATACACCTCTCTATTGTTTGTTCCTTCAGGTGGTTTAATGTACACTGTGTTCTGTAAGTCTCCATTCAGGAATGCCGTGGAATAGTCCAGATGTCGTAAGTCGAGATTCTCCTGAACAGCTTTCGACTACATCATTCTTACTGTCGACATCCTTGCAACTGATGAATAAATGTCTCTGCAAATGTTTTCTTAATATCCCTTTCCTACAAGTCGAGCGAATTTTAACACAGTTTTATTTAGTCTTGAACACCCATCGAGTATCAATATCTTTCCCACTAACGGGAAATTCACACAGAGTTCACACATTTAAGTTTTCCAATGCAGTTAGCTCCTTTTGTACAACTTCATGCCATCCCTCATTTTGCTTTGCTTCACTTGATTCTACTGGATCATCTGCACACAAAAGTATGCTGCAATCTATTTTAAAATTATATTTTTTATAGTCTATTTTTTAATTATATATTTTATAGTCATGGCATCCAGTCGGTTTTTTTACTTGTCTTCTTGATTCTTGGATCTTCTGATTTGTCTTCCTTAAGCCTGTTTACTCTAGTAACTGTTTGCCATTTGGCGCATCAATTTCCGTTGTATCTTCTGCTGCCTTAACTAGCTTTTCATTATCTTCAACACTGTGGTTTGATCCAAATTTCAAATAATTTTCGTCAAAGGTTTAATCTTAGAAACTGTAGTTTTTCCTGTTTTGGGGTACCAAATTCTGTATCCAATGGCATTGTATCCGACCAGAAGAAATTCTCTGACTCTTGGATCCAGTTTGTTATCCTTTGGGAGAACTACTGCTCATGATTTACTGACAAAAATTCTAAGTTTAGTTAAGTCCAATTTTCCATGGTACAGTTCTGCTGGAATATTACCAAACATTGTTTGCATTGGACATATATTTAATTGGTAGGAGGCAGTTCGGACTGTCTCTCCCCTTAAATATTTTGGCAGTCCTGTTTCAACAACAAATGTGCGTACTATGTTTGTGATGGTCCGTATCACTCTTTCACTTTTTACATTCATATACGGGCTATGACATACTTTATATTCTAATGTTATGCCACTTTATAACAAAAGTTTTTTAAATTAATTTGACGAGTACTCACCGCCATGTGAGCGGTTTGTTTGGTACCAAATATTGCCTCCAATCTTGTAATGTATTACACTAAGTTTTCTGCTGCCTTATATTTTGTAGTCAATAAATAGACACTGCAGCAATGTGAGTAATCATCAACAGTTACATGAAATACCTTCCCAATTTATGTTTTATGGAGTTATAGAACCTTCAAAATTAGTGTGAATGCATTCACTTATTTTATAAGATCTTGGAAACTGCACTTTCTTAAATGGCAAACGCGTGGCTTTGCCTTGACAACATGGCCCACATACATTTCTTGATGCTATCAAATTTATTTTCTTTAAACTGAAACTATTCAAATAACCTAAGAGTCTGTGCCACGAATTGTCCTCTTACTTTATGTTACAATGATCATTGTTTTCAAGAACGAAGTGAGCAACATATAATTTGCCTGTTGTTACACTCTTCACAAATGTCACTACCCTTCAAGATTGTAGCTTTGTACCCCGAAAACAAGAAATTCAGGCCTCTATTATTGATTTTACTGACGGACAATAAATTACAATACCGGCCTGGAACTATCAGGTACTTTTAGAGTAATTCTGCAAATTCCAGTATACGGTCTCAAGTTAAATTTTTTATTTGTTCGTAAAATGTTATAATTTGCAATTTTGATGTCTACTGGTATTTTCAATACTTTAACACTTTCCATGTGTTCAAGTAGATCTGCTTTCACCAGGTGATCGCTGGTACCACTATCTAAAATGAATTTCTTCTTGAAGATGAATCGCCTGAGAGTAATACATCTTCAGACTTATGTGAAGCAATAAACACAATGCATCGATTTTCTTTACTAAGATGTGCTTTACTTTGGCTACGATCCTTACCTCTATAATTGTTTATTTCTCTATGGCACGCTAGCCTCTGAACGAACCAAGAGCTGCATTTTTCTTTGGACAATCTGCTATGAAATGATTATTACTGTTGCACTCATAACACCTTTTTGATTTTCGAAACTTGATGTCTTGTATGAGCATCCACTCAAATCTTTGTTTTCTGTATGTGCATTTTCCATATTAAATTCTGCATCCAGTAAACGGGGTTTCACAAACTCCAAGGCTGTATCTGTGTCCATAGATATACGTTATAAAATTACTGTAGCATTCAGGCATTATCAATAGCAAATGGTATAACTTGTCATCTTGAGGTAACTTTGCTACCATACTTTCTAGGTCGTGTATCAATCCATCGAATTTTATGAAGTGTTCCTGAAGTGATAATGTAAATTTTAAGGACAGAAGCTTCTTTCAAGGAATAACGTGGAAATAGTACTTTTCCTCTCGAAGATTTTCTCCAAGGCGTCCTACATTTGTCTGGCTGTTTGCATGTCTCGCACATAACCGATATGTGTATCGTAAATACACTACAGTACTTTATTCTTTACTTTGGCTTCTGTTGCATTATAAGCCTTACTTTTTTTATCATTCATTTCCGACTGTGGTTTATGGTCATCAAGAACCCATTTCACACCTTCGTCGTATAATAAAAACATTACACTAAATTCCCAAGTTAAAAATTTCTTGTCTGTTAACTGTCGAAGTGTCGGTACTTCCATTTTCTTATCGTTTCCAATTTTTGGACTGTGGTTATAAGTTTTAAAATATTTTACCTGCACACATCACGACACAGCTATCCGCACAAACCTTTTTTTCACAGTGCAAGCATTAACATTAGTAGTAGGATTTGGGAAAGCCTGGGACAAGGGCGTGGCCGTAGGATCGTAGGATTCTCCAGCCGCCATATTGCTACGTCACCCAGCTGCCATCTTGGATGTCATTGACCCTCCACCCTTAATCCAAGTAAAGTTTGACCTTGACCTCAACCCCGAGGACCTTTGATACCTAAACCAGAAAAAACATAAAAAATTCCAACAAAATAAAAAATACTAAAAAAAAAAAAAAAAATTTTTATTTATTTAAAAATTATTTAAAAGATAATTAGAAATGTCCCATTTTTTACAGAAATGCTGACAAGATTCAGTGACCCGGAGTTAGACAGGAGACAGGGATCTATGACTCAATGGTCAGGAGAGCAGTACGTATGATAAAAAAATTGCAAAAAAATAAAAATAATTAAAAAAATTATCATGAAAAATTTAATTAAAAATCTTTTACAAAATTAAAAAAATCGATAAAAATTTTCTAATTTTAAAAAAATCCTTGTTAAAAATTATTCTAATCTGGTGGCCATTTTTCCCTTTCTTCCTTCTGAATTTCCCTATTTCCCAAAAAAATTTATAAAAAATTTTATTAAAAAACTTTCATTTCCTGAGATCTCCCCCAACACGACCAATTATACTCCTCTGTTCAAATCCTGCAGACGACTGACTCCCTCGCACCCACTCCCCTCACCAATACTCACTTCAGCATCGTGTTTTTTTTTGTTTGCCACTTGTTTACATGGTACTGGAGGCAGCCATTTTTGTTTATATATTATTTAAGGCCATCATCTTTGTGTATATGTT